TGTTTACCAACCCCCCCCCCCCCACTCCCAACAAAATTTTGCATAACCATTGTTTCCAGTTCCCCTGGGTATACACACAGTCAGCCCAACACAGAGATATTGAAGACAATGCTTCAAGGCAAATTTTGAGGGGTGTAATAATACGGTCAAGGTGAAAATGCCAATTGGTAGTCAGGTTAAATCTCAGTGCCCATAATTTTTAAGGTACCACAAGCAGGGTTCTCCCTAAATTTTAGCTCAGCAGGTAAGGGACCATTCATGAATGGTAAGGCAAAAAATGTATACTTTTCTCGGAAGGGGGTGGGGGGAGGGGGGGCAGTGGAGTGAGGGACATGGACCCCGCCCTCACTGGGAAATTTTTTTCTTCCCATATTTGAAGACCTATTTTACGCAAATCTGCTGGCGTGTTATCTTTAGACAACAAATTAAAACGTTTGATTTCAATAATTTTACTATGTCTTTAATGTCCTCTTTCCAAAATGCATGTCCCTAAAAAGGAAAGCGGTACAGCCCAAAAGTAATGCACGTGCAAAAAGTGGCATAAGAAGTTACTGCGCCACAAGAACATGCAAGCCACCGCAAGAAACGAAAGTGCCGTATTTTTGCGGACCCTTTGTGGTTTACCCGGAAGAACTTTGAAGCGAAAGAAGTCAAAAATCTTCACCGCAAGAAGCTACAAAATTACCGCAAGCCTCAAGAAGGCACACGAAATTATTGATAAGTGTTAACCTGAAAGAAGTTTGTGGTGTTTGTCGCCTTTTTGTTACATCATTTTGTAGCCTTGATACTAATTCACTCTGTGGCAGCAAAAGGTAATCATGCAAGGACACAAGTAAAAAGTTCCCTGAGAAAGCGAACAGCTTTCTCTGCTTTTTCTGCAAAGTGAACACTTCAATCGTTCAGCTTTTCCAAAGGTAGATAAAGCGTGTGAGACGATTGTTTAACAAAACGATCTGTAGTTTCGAACATTTCGATCATTTGATCATTTCATAGTACAATGCAATAGTCTCGGCAAAACAAACCAAAGGCGTTGAATTTCTGCCACAATGGATATCACAATTCCAAAGAAAACATGACAATTATTTATTACTTTATTGCAGTAATTTGAAAGAGCCTTTAGTGAAAATATTCCTTACTTTACTTTAGTCTGTTTTTTTTTTTTTTTCCAAGGGCGCTCTAAGTTGACACAGTTGTACGTACAGTCTTAAATTACACCGCTGTTTTGTGAAACATACTACAATAGCTCCTTATTTTTGAAGTGCTGCTTTTTTTATCGAAATTGTACACATTTCCTTGCTTTTAAAAAGGTTACCTTTGCACAAGATAATTTTATATATACCGTTTCAAAATTCACTGATCCTTACTTTGCAAAACGAGCTGCAGTGCATTTTAAAAAACATGAAACTATTTTTAGTTTATCTTTTTTGTTTACACTTGTTATCTATACATCCCTGTCATTGTGAACCAGCAAGAACAAAACAATTTTAGGGTTTTGAATGTTCAAACACCATGTGCCTAAAGTATAGATTAGTGATCCGCTGACAAATACAGAAAGTGGCACAGCTATTTTATTGTCAGAATAAATTTTCACGTGTCTGCGGCAATCTCGCAAAATGACCCGATGATCGTTTGTGAAACTCCTTCAAACAGCTACTGAATG